TCATTGGAGAAAAAAGGATTGCAGTTCCACCACTCACAAGAGCAGTGAAAAGTCCACCAATCAGCCCCATGTCATGGTATTGAGGTAGCCAGCTAACAAGTACTGTCCTTGAAGTACTCTTGTATCTTCTGCGCATCAACTTCACGTTATGAATGAGGCCACCATGCGTAATCATGACTCCTTTTGCATCACCTGTTGACCCAGACGTAAATTGCAGAAAGCTCACATCATCTGAGTGAGGTTCAGATTGGTTAGTCATCGCATCTGGAGCCAAATTGGCAAAGTTCTTTATCCAACTATCAGTGTGCATCCATGGAAGTTTAGGCCACACAGCTGAAGACTTTCCATTTTCTCTCATCAAGCCAATCATATTCTTCACCTTGCCAACTCTAACCGCTGAATGATAACTAAGGGTCGACAGAATTGCGACTGCACCGCATGATTTTGCAATGTATTCGATTTTCAAAAGTGCTTGGCCACCTCTTTGCAAGGGATCAGGTGGAAGAACTGGAACTGGTAAAATCTTAGCTCTCAAGCATCCAAAGAATGCGTCAATGAAGTCGAGGCCAGGAACATATATGAGAAGAACCCGATCCCCTGGTTTTATTGGAGGCTTCTGGTTTGATAGCAGCTTTTGAGCAATGCAAGAAGCATTGAGATGAAGCTCTCTGTAGGTCCGCTGGCCTAACACTGACCCTTCTTCATTAAGCCAAGTATAAAGTACTCTATCTCGAGTGACATGATGTGAACCCCAGTGCCTTAAATACCCATCCAGTGAGTTCAAATCGGGAAACTCCACTCCTGGTAATTCGCCTAACCCCTTAACATCCCTTTCTCGTTTTGATTGTAAGAAAAACATGGGCTGCAGATGCGACATGTTTCAGTTTAGTACAGATAAAAAAAAAAATAGACATTTTTTCTTTTGTGTATTCAGCTGACATTCATTATTGGGATCACCTTAGCATAAGAAAACATGGGAGAAGAGTTGTTTGCGAAGTGCTTGCATACTAGTGTCATGGCGTATGAAGAATTTCTCTCTGTAAGTTCAAAAGCCATAAGCCCTCCTACGTAATAAGTATTCAATGAACCTTGTAGCTCCAATTCCAATCTCTTGTAGAATCCATCCTCCATATCTGCGCGAAGGCTTCAACAGATCAGCATCTCATCTTGGGAAGTGGAAAATTATTTAGACAACTTCACTTACCTTTGCTACAAACATGGGGGAAATATTTAAATCTTCTTTGCAGTATCACCTTCTTAACTTCTGCCCCCATTTTCTTAACTGTGTTGATTGCCAGCTCAGCCACTTTTGGACCTGTAATGTCCGCTGAGTTACCATAAGACCAGAACAGGAAAATATCAGTGTCTGCGTAGAATCTCTGCATGGCAACCGGGTATCCAATTGTTTCCGGATTGTCCATATGTTCCCCAAAGTAATAAAAACCAAGCGGTAAATGATTTAGGCCTTCTATCTTCAGAACTGTGGTGTAATAGTCAATTGTGTATACTTTACTGAACAGCTCCTTTTCGAGGTGGCTCATATCCATTGTCTCAGCTCCTTCTTCTGCAAATAATATCAATATAGACCTATTTATAAAAGGAAAGACAGAATAGAAAGGAGACATGGTCAAAGAGAGCTGAAAGTAATCCATACAAAACCTGACGATTTTGTGGTGGAGGACCTGTACGTTCTACCATTTCTAAAAGGAAATGAGCCAGAGATGATAATCTTATCAAACTCCAAACTTGTGAGATTTGTGTCACTGTCCATGACATGAAGAGTTACAGTTTTAAAACTCCGTCTGACAGACACAACTTCAGTGTTGCAGTGAACTTTGATTGGAATTGACTCGCTGATCCTCTTCCACAGGCCTCCATACCCACCTTTGAAGCGTCGTATTTTACCTGCCATTGAAGTGCGGGTGAAGTCATGCACATATGCATACGGCATGTCTTGCAGAAACCCATATCCAGAAGCAGTGTAACCATAAGCCACAGACTTTGGGACAGACGTCAGTCCATGAGCCTCAAGATACGCAGGAGTTAAGTCAGATGCAAATGCACTCACAGCATGGACACCAATGTGTCCTGAATCCTTCGCTTTGTCCTGTACAGAAGAATTCCAATTTCCAACACTAAATAAGTATACTAGTATTCAAAGATTCCAGTCATAGCAGCAGAGGAAACTAACCTGGAGTTCTAAGGTGAGTGAGATAATGGACGTATAATCGTCTGCAACGCCTATGTCTTGATATTCCCCTGAAGTATGAATAAGGGCTAGCTTATGGGAGTCCATCTCTTCCAGTTCAGAGCCAGTGTCTTGGGCGAGGTGAAAGATTGTTGGAGCACTATTTGCAGCAAGAACTTGACCTCCCAAATCATATATTTTACCTGTAACAAGGGTGAATGCTAGTTGTTTTTGAACTTGAATCTCATTATTAACAACCATGTCATGCATTGAGTATTAAGTAACTTGTACCTTCAATTTCCACAGACTCACACATGCCCCCAACATCCTGATGCTTCTCCAAGACAGTTACATCACTGTAACCAAGCTTGGCCAGTGCATAAGCAGCTGACAAGCCACTTGGACCACCTCCTATAATCCCAATCCTAGTGTTCAAAGGAAGGGAAGGGTGAAGCTTAGAGAACTGATCTTCTAATGACTTGCCTGTATCCATCATCACACACTATATTCACTTCAGCCACCAAAAACCAACTTCTCAAATCAAGCGAGTCTTACATCTCTGTTCAATTACCAACACAACTTGGCCAACATCATCGTATTCATATACACAATGTTCAGCCACCCACAAGCATGGATACGAATTGGTTAGTTAAAAGCTGAGGGCTGTCGTATTCCGCGAAAAGGGCGATTTAAATAAGTGCCAAATGGGCAAAATAGTTTCATCGATGGTGACGAGTTAAGAATAGAATAATTCGGAATCGCAAGTTTGTGAGCTACTTTGGACACTCCGAGAATTAAACTCCAAATATTCTGTTTGTGGGTTAAAAATGTTGGTAAAGAACAAATGGAATGAGGGATCGGCAGCGACAAGCACAAGGCGATGATTTGCCCATTTGACGCTGACCCTTTCTCTTTCTTCCGCTTTTTAGTAAATATGTATGAGAGCTATGAGTCTGACGTGTAAGCAATCGGCAAAGGCACAAGTGGAGGAATTTTGTTGAACTACGGTGATTAGAAGAAATTAGAGAGCGAGAGAGTTATAAAAATAGAATATAGCATTTGGGTTTATGAGTGCTTTATGTTTTGAATTTTGAGTTTAGTTGATCACGTATTTGTGTGTACATGAGGTGAAGATTATGGTATTTGTTCGTATATGAGGTGAAGATTATGGTATTTGTGCGTATATGAGGTGAGGTGAAGATTATGTTGGGTTGAAGGAGAGAGAATATGGTGGTTAAGAAGATGGGCTTTAGAAAAGGGGCCAAGTGAGAGAAGATGGGCTTCACTTGGTGTTTTTTTTAAAAGAAAAAGAAGGGAAGGAAACAAACTTCAAGAGCTTGCTAAAAGAATTTATGATTTAAGTTGAAGATTGGTGTGGGAATTAATTGGTTGATTGATTGATTTAGTTTGGGTCCACACAATTTAATTCGACCACTTGTTTTATATTTATGAATTACCAACCACACTTCAATTTTCATATTTATTTCAGCATCCTTGTTTACAAGACTCCACTTTTTGTTTTATTCTAATAATAATATAGAAAAGGTTGACAATAATATCCATTCGACTCTTAAATATTTTAAATTTGTATATAATAGTTATTAAAAACCATATAGATACTCAATTGTAATAAGGATTAAAAGACGATTATATTGTGGCGTTCCATTAAATCTATGTATTTTTTTCTGGTCAAACAAAGGCTCCCATAGTGCAATAGCTTTATTGATTTTAAAGGGAAAACAACAATAAAAAAAAAGGATTATAATAAATATAATTTTGAGGAAGTCAATTCAAAGAATAGAAGAGATGAGGAGGCGGAGCGGTCAGCGGAGGGAGGCGCCCGATGGCTTTGTATTTGTGAACTTCCAAATGTTCACGTAACAGAATACCCATTTAAACGTTAAAAACAATTAAAGGCCTATTTTTTAAATATTAAAAACAGTTTCTTGGAAACAAGGGAGGCTCACTTTTCATCCATACAAAGCTTTATTTTCGAATATTATCAGACTACCCCTGCCACGGTCTTATCCAAACACCATAATAATAATAATTTATTAATAATAATAGTGGTGAGCGAGACAAACGGCGAGGAGGCGGATGCAAACTTTCAACTAGTGCACATGTGAGACCAAAGGTACGAGGGACAAACTTTGTCCACCCTTTATTCCTCTTTATTATTTTTTTAATTTTCCAATACCTTTGTCTTTATTTTTAATATTCCAATACCTCCCTCTCAAAATTCGATAACTATTTTAGTTTATTAACAAATTCGTGAATAATGGTCTTTCTTACTTTCTAATTATTTTTATACATCTTTTTACTGCATAATCTTAATACCTGCTTTTGTTGGATTCTAAATCAGCCATCAATCATTGTGCCCACTTGAATAGATTATAGATATATATATATTTTTTTTTTTAGGAAATGATATTATAAATCACTACTTTATACAAGTTGAGAGAGTAGTTTCATTTTTCAATTTTAAACCTATACTTTCGAGAATAACTTTGTGGTCTTTTATACGTTAAACGACTATACTAAACATTAAAAAGAACAAGTTGGACGATTTAATTATGCATGCAAGTGGCGTTGCTTCAAAAATTAAATCCATTCATTTATTTATCTATCACCAAACTCTATATCTATTCATATTTTCTAACATAATTAAATAAACCACCCACCACCAACCACGTGTGCTGTCCACGTCGGACTTCATTAGAAGATACCCATGAAACATATAAAATTAATATTAAGAAAACAGGAGATGATATTGGGTTTGAGTTTGAGTGTATAAATAGAGTCGGAATTGTTGATAATGAAACACCCTCACACACCCTACATTCCACCACCAGAGATGGCTGTTGATATCGTCGCAGTTGTTACCGTCAGACCCAAATTTAATGAAAAGTTTCCTTCCGACGACACCCTCTCTCTCAAGTTTGCTAGCTCCGATTTGGATGCTGGTAAGTCATTCCTTTTTTTAATTTTTTTTTTTTTTAGGAATTAAAAAAAAAAGAAAAAGAAATCTATTATTATTATTATCATTGCTCAGTGTGTAACATTCATACCCACAGATGGACAGCAAAAGCCATTGATCGGAGGTGTGGCGACAATACAGAATGAATCGGCGGAGGAGTACACGTACGTGGCCAAAATTCAAGTTCCCAGAGGATTTGGGGAAATTGGAGCAGTGATCATTGAACTGAAAGACAACTCCACGGAGAGGTTTATCGACACTGTTTCTGTTGCCAACTCATCATCTCAGAACTCAGTTACGTTCAGCTGCACCTCATGGGTTCAGCCCAAAAATTTGATCCCTGACCAGCGCAGGATCTTCTTTTCCACCAAGGTTGGTTCATCCATCATAAGGATATTATGATTCAATTAAATAATTATTAATTATTATTATATTTGTGGTGGGGGGATGGGGCTTGAACAGTCCTATTTGCCGGGAAACACACCGGCCGGGCTGGTGAAGCTGAGAGCAGAGGACCTTGCCAATCTGAGAGGCCAAAAACCAGATGGAACAGAAGATGAGAATGAGCGTAAGGCGTTCGAAAGGATTTATGATTACGATGTGTACAACGACCTCGGAGATCCGGACGTAGACATGAAATGGAAAAGGCCTGTTCTTGGTGGCTCGGCCCAGTACCCTTACCCTCGGCGTTGCAGAACTGGTCGTCCTGCGGCTGTATCAGGTACCCTTGTAAACTAAAATTGAATAACATTTCATGTTTATTTTTAAAATGCATGAATGTAAGAAGCAAAGAAAATGGCAATAATTTAATGCTGGTGGGACAATGGTAGATCCGTGGTCAGAGCACAGGGGTGAAGAAAGCTTCTATGTTCCACGAGACGAAGCATTCTCAGAGGTGAAGCAGAAAATGTTTCCGGCGAACCCGGGGAAGAAAGACAAGCTGGGATCAAAGCCTTTCTCGGATTTCACTCAGATTGACCTAATGTTCCGAGATGGCATTGAGATCCCCCCCGCTCCTCACGAAATTCTTCGCTTTAATATTTCCTCCACTCTTTCCACCATGCATGCCCCACCCTTTGTTGACCCTTCTACCCTTCAGCCCCAGCCTGCCCGGTTGGTTAAATTCCCACCGCCCGAGGCCCTCAAGAGTGAGTCCACGCCTACTTTTCTTTTCTTTTTTTCTTTTTTTCTTTTTTTGGGGTGGGGGTATTAATGGAGCTTACCAAACAAATGCATTTTCCTCACAATTACTTCAAATTTTCCCAGGAGACAAGTTCAATTGGCTGAGTGACAGCGAGTTTGCAAGACAGACACTCGCTGGTCTCAACCCCTACAGCATTCAGCTGGTCAAGGTCACTCACAACTTCACCATCAATCCATTAATCTCTCTCTTTCTATAATATGCAAAACTCGCTTAACTTTGTCCTCATACATTCAGAGTTTGCCTTTGATGAGTGAGCTGAACCCCAAGGATTATGGACCTCAAGAATCAGGATTCACCACCGAATTGGTCCAGAAATTAATCGGATGCTCCATCACTGTTGAAGAGGTAAAATTGATTGAACCCAACGTGCTATAAGTTACTAAATTAGAGAAGAAAAAAAATAAAAAAAATAAAAAAAGAGAATTTTGTGAGTTTATGCAGGCATTAGCACACAAGAAATTGTTCGTACTGGATTACCATGACACTTTAATGCAATATGTAACCAAAGTAAGAAGCATTAAGCGGACGACACTGTATGGATCAAGGACATTGTTCTTCCTAAACTCAGATGACACTTTGACGCCGTTGGGTATTGAGCTAACTCGGCCGCCGATGGATGGGAAGCCCCAATGGAAACAAGTTTTTTCCCCAAGCACTCATGCCACGGATGCCTGGCTATGGAGGCTCGCTAAAGCCCACGTTCTTGCTCATGATTCTTGCGTTCACCAACTCGTTATTCATTGGTACGGGGCTAACAAAATTCACGTGTTTCTTGGGACACTTAAATTAATCAATTTTGACAAGTTGATCGAATATGTGCAGGCTTAGAACCCACTGTTGCATGGAGCCCTATGCAATTGCGATGAACAGACAATTAAGTACGATGCACCCAATCTATAGACTATTGCATCCTCATTTTCGATTCAATATGCGCATCAACTCAAATGCGCGTGAAATTCTCATCAACGCCGGAGGAATCATTGAGAGCACGTTTTCTGCTGCGGCTTACTCCATGGAATTTAGTTCTTTGGTGTACAAGAAGGAGTGGCGATTTGACACCCAAGCGCTCCCTGAGGACCTAATTCGCAGGTAGCTACTAAAGCTAATTGACACAAGTTTTGATTTGAGATTGAATTGGGTTAGGAGTGAGTTTTGTGATTGATATGAAAATGGATCTGAAATTAGGGGAATGGCGGAGAGAGATGAAAATGCACCTCATGGTCTTAAGTTGGCGATCAAAGACTACCCTTTTGCGAACGACGGTCTGATGTTATGGGATGCTCTGTTGGAATGGATGACAGAGTACGTGCACCACTATTACCCGGATGAGAAAGCGATAAAGAACGACAAGGAGCTGAAGGCATGGTGGAAAGAAATCATGGAAAAGGGGCATCCAGACAAGAAGAAAGAAGCAGGATGGCCTGCGCTAAAGACCCCCAAAGACCTTATTCAGATCGTGTCCACCATAGCGTGGGTAGGGTGTGGACACCACTCGGCGGTGAACTTCATACAATACGCACACGCAGGGTATTTCCCGAGCCGACCCAGTATTGCGAGGACCAACATGCCCACAGAGGACTTCGACCAAATTCCAGAGGAGTTGATAAACAATCCTGAAAGTGTGTTGCTTGAAGCCTTCCCTTCGGTGGCACAGGCTTCCACAGTGGCACAGACTATGTTGATTCTCTCGGCTCACTCTCCGGACGAGGAGTATATCGGGAGCAAGATAGAGGCAGCCTGGGAGGAGAACCCCATCATAGCCAAAGCCTTTCAAAAGTTCAAAGCGAGGTTGGATAATCTAGACGAAAGTATCGACGAGAAAAACGAGGATAGTAATTTTAAGAATAGGCGTGGAGCTGGGTTAGTCCCGTATGAGGTTCTGAAGCCAACTTCAAGCTTTGGGGTGACTGGAAAGGGAGTTCCATACAGCGTTTCCACTTGAACTTCCTCCACTCTCCCATCTTCATCAATCGTCTTCCCCCCTTGTGCTTTTCATTTCATGTTGTTTCTGTGTTTCTTGAATTCCGATTTGTATCATTTTCCGTCTCTTTTTTTTTTTTTTTTTCTTTATTGAAATTTGATAAAATTTATTTAGACTTAAATTAATAGAAGTAATAATTAAATGAAATTGGGCGGGTTAGGAGTGAGTTTTGTGATTGATGTGGAAATTTGAAATTAGGGGAAAGGCGGAAAGAGATGAAGACGTACCTCGTGGTCTTAAAAGTTGGGCACTCTTTTGCGAAGGATGGTCTCATCTTATGGGACGCCGTGTTGGAATGGATGACCAATTACGAGTGCCACTGTTACGCGGATGAGAGAGCGATGAAGAACGACCCGTATTGGAAGGTCCAGCATGGCGAGGGAGGACTATACGATGCTTCAAGCCTTCCCTTCAAGATCTCACAGGGTTCTATAGATAATATATTATGGGGATGAGGAGCATATAATAATACATAGGGGGAGATTATATTATGGGGATGAGGAGCATACAATAATATATAGGGGAGAAGATGGCACCACAAATATTAAATAGGGCCTTCAAAGCGTTTAAACAGAAAGTGGAGCATTTACACAAAACCAACTTCAAACTATGGGATTACAGGACAGGGAGTTCCATACAGCGTTTCCAGTAAACTTGGGGTTATTGAGCTCACCAACTGATGCCCATCCATGTTGGGATTGCCAAACCCCATGTGCTTCCCCATCACTGGTACGTTTTCTTTTCCTTTTTGAAAAACAAAATTTGTCACAACGTTACTTACCCTACTCTTTTTTTAATTTTAAACATTCTTATCACAACATTAACCTTTTTGAAGTCATCACCAATTTGAAATATTATAAGGTTTAGGGTTTTGTCGTTGTTGTTTTAGCATCCCTAACTCACCTCCGTGTGTTTCACGTGACAACCCATACCCATTCTTCTAATCTGTGTCTCGCGTGAGTACCCTTTAGGTCATTTCCCCCTGTGAATGTTTGCTGAATCACCACACCTCAATGGGGGTGAGAGTTCTCTTATTTATAATTATTTTCAGAATACAGAAATATGGTAAATTACAAATATTATGGAAATAGTAATAAAAGGAAAGAATAATAAATGAATGCAATATATTTGCCTTTAATAAGAGGGCAAATATGGTAACCCGTAATGTAAGGCAAATATCTAGATATTTGCCTTATAGTGACGGTCAACTATCCTTAACACCCCCCCGCAAGCTGAGCGTCGGATTTGAACGAACGTAAAGCTTGGATCTGAAAAATTCAAAGAGAGGTCGAGAAATACTCTTTGTGAAGATGTCAGCAACTTGGAGATGAGAGGGTACATATTGTGTGCGAAGTTTGCCAGCGATAACAAGTTCTCGAAGGAAATGATAATCTAGTTCAACATGTTTGGCCCGCTTGTGAGAAACGGGATTAGAGCTCAAAAAAATAGCACTTTTGTTGTCACATAAGAGTAAGGGCTGCTTTGAAATAGGGACCTTGAGGTCATGCAAAAGATGCGTAACCCAAAGAAGTTCAGCAGCGGTTGTGGCAAGAGCACGATACTCAGATTCACAGCTGGAGCGTGAGACAGTAGGTTGCTTTTTGGCACTCCAAGAAACCAGATTGTTACCAAGATAAATAGAATAGCCGGATGTAGAACGACGAGTATCGGGACAACCAGCCCAGTCAGCATCCGAATAAGCGACTAGCGTACTAGGAACATTGGATGGACGAAAGGTAAGACCAAAGTGGAGTGTTCCTTTGACATAGCGAAGAATACGTTTGACAGCAAGAAAGTGATCTGCAGTAGGGGCATGCAAGAATTGACTGACAGAATTGACAGCATAGGCAATATCTGGACGCGTAATAGTCAAGTACTGAAGGGCGCCAACAAGAGATCTGTAGAGAGTAGGATCAGAGAAAGGAGAACCATCAGCAGTCAAGTGTTGAGAAACAACCATAGGAGTGTGAACTGGTTTGCTATCGAGCAACTGAGCACGAGTAAGAATATCTCGAGCATATTTTAACTGACTAATAAAGAGACCATCAGGAGTGGGTGAAGCTTCAAGACCAAGAAAGTAACTGAGAGAACCCAAATCTTTGGTAGCAAACTCAGAATGAAGCTTGCGAGTAAAGCTGTCAATAAGAGATGAGTTGTTGCCGGTAACAATAATGTCATCAACATAAAGAAGCAAATAGATAATGTTAGATTGCTGATGAAAGACAAAAAGGGACGTGTCAGCGCGACTGCAAGAAAACCCAAGTGTGAGAAGAAATGAGCTAAAACGCTGAAACCAAGCACGAGGAGCTTGCTTTAAACCATAGAGGGCTTTCTTTAATAGACAAACATGAGTGGGAAATCGAGGATCAATATACCCAGGAGGTTGTTCCATATGAACACGTTCAATAAGAGTTCCATTGAGAAAAGCATTCTTGACATCAAGTTGTCGAAGAGGCCATTTATTTGTGACTGCAATAGAAAGCACAACACGGACAGTGGTAGCTTTGACAACCGGACTGAAAGTGTCAGTGTAGTCAAGACCAGGAACCTGAGTATAACCTTTGGCAACAAGACGAGCCTTGAAACGCTCGACAGATCCATCAGGCAAATATTTAATACGAAACACCCATTTAGAGCCCACGATGTTGGTGTTAGCAGGGCGAGGAACCAAAGTCCAAGTATCATTTTGTTGTAATGCTTGAATTTCTTCATCCATGGCAGCCACCCAAGCAGGATTCTTAGCCGCAGATTTGAATCCTTTTGGCTCAGTGGATGCAAGAAGAGCAGAAAGAAGTCCAGATGAGCCCAAAATACCAAGATTTGCTGGATGACGAGTCTTGAATATACCAGCTTTGGCTCGTGTGATCATAGGATGAGTGCCCAAAGAAGAGAAATCAACAGGAGGTTCAATAGAGGTCGAATTAGAAGTCGAAGGTGGCAAAGTGGAACCTGCAAGAGAAGTATCAACCTGCACAGACTCATCTACAAGGTCAGAACAAATATCACACGGGGATGAACTGGATCGAGGAGTTTGCGGTGATGAAGTGGTAGGGGGGGATGAATCAATATGATGAAAATGTGGTTCTAAGAAATTTGAAATAGGAATAGAGGAAAGAGGTTGGGTCTGGGAGCTAGGGATAGCAGGAAAGTGGGTTTCATCAAATTGAGCATGACAGGTGATATATAGCTTAGTGGTGGCCGGATCAAGACAGCGAAACCCTTTATGAGCAGGACTATAACCCAAAAAAATACAAGGAATGCTGCGGGGAGAAAGCTTGTTAGGCATATAATCACGCAAATAAGGATAAACACGACAACCAAAGGGATGAAAATTGTCATAATGTGGAGTGTAGCCATAAAGGAGTTCAAAGGGTGACTTACCTCCAAGAAGTGGAGTAGGCAACCGGTTGATAATATAAGCTGCAGTGCTGAAGGCGTCAACCCAAAAACGAGAAGAAAGATGAGAGTGAAAGAGAAGGGCCAAGCCAGTCTCAGTCACATGACGATGTTTTCTCTCAGCACGACCATTTTGAGCAGGTGTATATGGACAAGAGAGTTGATGGTGGATGCCAGAATTACGTAAATGAGTTTTGAAACAAGTATTAGTAAATTCGGTACCACCATCACTTTGAAATACCTTGATACGAGAAGAATATTGATTTTCCACAAATTTTTGAAATTGAAGAAAAATATCAAAAAAATCAGATTTAAATTTTAAAGGGTAAAACCAAGTGAATCGAGAATAATCATCAATAAAAATAACATAATAAAGGAAACCCGAATTTGATTTGACGGGAGAAGGACCCCAAAGATCACAATGAATAAGATCTAACACATGAGACGACCTACGTTCATTGCGGGAATAAGGCAATCGATGACTTTTTGCAAGCTGACAGGTATTACATAATGATGGAGAAGGCAATAAAGACGTAAGAGAAAGATGACCTTTTCTATTTAAAAAAGAAATAACAGAATGATTCACATGACCTAGACGAGCATGCCATAAATCATATGAAGCACGTAAAGATTTGTTTCTAAGGGCTGAAATAAAAGCAGAGTTGCCGCGCTCCAGCACATATAGCCCTCCATCTCTTTTACCGGTTGCCACCACCCTTCCTGTTTGACGATTCTGGATAGTAATAAGATTATTAGTAAATGTAACGGAGAGAGGAAAATCAGACGTTAATTTACTTATGGAAAGAAGATTTTTAGTGAGGTGAGGGACAACCAAGACATCTAACAAGTGAATATTTGGAACAGGTGAAAGAGTACCGGTGTGGGTAATGGGTAGGGAAGCACCGTTTCCTACAATCACAGAGTCCTTACCCGTGTAATTTTTAGACTGATCCAAAATAGATGGGTCGGCAGTCATATGGGCCGAAGCTCCAGTGTCCAGAAACCAATCAGCAGTATCGGGTCCAGCAATAGAACATGACGTGTTAAAGGCTTCAGCAAGGTGAGCATGAGAAGAATCAGGTCGAACATACCGTTGGTTGCAGCGGTCAGCATAATGGCCCTCTTTGCGGCATATTTGGCAGTGAGGTGGTCGACGACCTTGACTTGAGTGGGTTCGTCCTCGATTAGAAGAGTTATTTTTGTGAGAATAAGAACGACCTCGCTGGTTGGTAAAGGAAGCAGGGTGGCTTCCATGGGTGCGACCACGATTAGTGACTGTGAATGCTGTAGGAGTGGAGTTAGAGGACTCAAGGGAGAGCTGAAACAACTCAAAACTTTCAGCTTTAGAGACTAAATCTGCAAAACAGGGGATAGAGGTAAGAGCCATCTGAGCAGTAGAAAAAGCTGAAAATTCGGTGCCGAGTCCACGAAGGAACCAGTGCACTTTATCAATGTCCTCGACCGGTCTGCCAATGGCATGAAGTTGGTCACAAATTTTTTTGAAGGCACGGGCATACTCAGCAACAGGTTTGGTGCCACGTTTCATCAACTGCAAGTCATCCTTGAGTCTCAGTTCACGAGCTTTCGACTGATGGCTGAACGTAGTTTCCAACGCAAGCCAAACATCACGTGCAGTAGGGAGACCAACGACAACAGCCATGGCTTCCTCAGTGAGAGAG